ACATAGACAGACAGACAGATAGACAGACACATAGACAGATAGACAGACAGACAGACAGACAGATAGACAGACGGACAGACAGACAGACAGACAGACAGATAGAGAGATAGATAGATAGACAGACGGATAGACAGACAGAACGACAGATAGATAGACAGATAGACAGACAGATAGACAGACAGATAGACAGACAGATAGACAGATAGATAGACAGACAGATAGATAGACAGACAGATAGGCAGACAGATAGATAGATAGATAGATAGACAGATAGACAGATAGATCTAATTTCCCCCTTCAAGCACTTTTATTTATTAACCAGGCTGTGTGTTTGGTAGGAGAGATCACTCACTCGACAATTGCTCAGCTCCTCTGCAGACAGGATGATGGAGCCACATTTCTTCCCTGGGATCCCTCTGTGGAGGAAAGAAAGAAAAGAAGAAAAGCTTTATTGAAATGAAAAGGAAATCCATCTACTTTTTGGCCATTCTTGGATCTTCACTGATCAATCAGTGACACAAAGTCCTTTTGTTGTGGCGCATCCTTGATAATTTACAATCAGCACTAGTTTTTATTGTCACAAATTCTTATTTTACAGTCAAACCCGTCTTTTTGTGATATGATTGCGTTCCAGCAATGGATCTCCTATATGTGTGCATAGGTATCTGTGTACAGTGCATGCCTGAGTTAAGATATCTAAAGTGCTGGCAGCCAGTACAATAAGACTGCATCTCTTCAGTCCCTAAGTCAGCTCAAGGTGACCGGTGGAATTGAATCGTAATGCCAAGGAAATGGAATTCACCGATGATGAAATGAGAAGTTGTAAGTGGAAAAGGTGTAGAAATGCAAATGCTATAAAACTCATTCTTCCAGTGCCATCTAACTGCATCTATAGATATAGATATATATATATATCATTTCTTTTTCACTGTTTTGCTGATGACAGCTTAATTTACCTTTAAGCTAAAAAAACTAGAACAAACTAACAGGCCATAATAACTGCCTCCAGGATTTACTTTCCAGTAATGAATGAAAGAAACTTAGTCCACAACATTCAAAGTCCAGTCAAGCTAATTGCTTCTAATGACAAATAAAGCCTTTTTCCTGGGACATTACTCAGACAGAGGAGGGTTTAATTAAAAGGTTGATGGTGCAACACTGTGGCTCTTTGTACTCTCAAAGGTCAACACTGTCAAGACCTCTGTTGGTCAGTAGCGTGAATGTACTCAATGTGCAGATTTATTCCATTGTGACAATGACATCAATGATCATTATCAGAAACCTGGTGTTTCAGGTTTGGCTTTTAAATGGAATAATCAAAAAATAAAACTGTATTATTCCATTAAATTCAGCTTCAATTAACTTTTTATAAACTCAGGATCATTCGTGTGTGTCTGATTTGGAGAATCAAGTTATCAACACCTTTATATTTCCACCTTCATCACTGCAACTCATATTCTGGTGTCAGTCACACCTTTTTCTTCCGTCTCCAGAATGAGACACCAAGGCTTTTACCATCCTTAAGAAGAAGTGTTGTGTTAGTCTAACTCTCCTCTCTCCACTGGCTTTTAGTTTGAGTTGAAAAGCTCCTTTTTTATCTATAAATGCTCTTGTCGCTGCTTATATTAGTGAAAATACCAAACTATCAGAGACCTGTGATCCTCTGATGATAGGCCTCTCTATTCCTAATGTCTGGGTTTATTTTTTTCATTCAATTGTGCTACATTTTGTCCGTCTCAGACATCTGTTCCGGGCCATTTACTGTCTCCCCTGAGGACTGAATTTTTCTGAAGTTACGTTGCAAATATTACCAGAATTCAGACACATAAACAAAAAACAATTTGCAACCATCTTCTTTTCACTATGGCAAAATAATCACTGTATAACATCGGCTGCCTATCAAGGTCAGTTTCCTGGATGTGCACTGAAGAGGTCAACGTGTCACAAAACCCTGGGGGACATCACATGCATTGTGCAGCTGATAAATTCCATTAAATTGTTGGTGAAAAACAATCTCCTAAAAAAAAAAACATGTCAATGCCACTGCAGAATATGAAAGTGTTGGATTATACACATTTTGCCAATGAATGTAACCCAGGCACCTGTCTTGTTAGTACAAAAACACATTTCATAGGAAAAACTCAAGTGAATAAAGAAATGACCATTATACTTGTACTGTGTCTAAATGTTAGATGCTAGTGAGAGTTCAGAAAGTTGCTCAAAACTCAAACTAGGTTTTACTTATAGCAGTGGTGGCCATTTTACATCAATGTCCACTAAAGACTGATGGACTTGACTTGGCAGATTCAACACATAAAATGCTAAGGTCAAAAGCCTGGATAAAGTGCCTTCCTGCTGTGTGTGTAAGTACTCTCTGCCCTTTGTGTAGAAGGTGTATGTGTGTTTTAAGAAGTAGATGGGAACCTTTCATCCACACAGTAAAAGACTCCCATTGATCTTCAGGTGGGGAGACTATCCTTGTGGCATAGTGATGCAGGAAGCGAGAGTGTTTTTTCACCTAGAATCTTACTCCCACTCTCAGACATACTCAAAGACACTTGGCACCCTATAAGCCACTCGCAGAAAAATACAGCTTTTAAAGGAGAGTGACTCCATATCTACAATTCTTCTCTACTCGTTCCTTCCCTGACCTCCTGCAACTGAATCAATTCTCTTACCGATGTTTCCAGAAATAGTCTGTTATCCTGAGACCATCGCAAAAGCTGAAATCAACAGGCAAGAGTTTGGGTTACAAAAGTGAATCTACAGTGTGCCAACAAGTTGTTGCTGTACAGTAACTGCACAACAAAGCAGCTGTGGAACAACACAGTGCACAGCCAGGAACAGGCTTCCATCCATTAATCAGTGTGTTCTACTTAAATGAAACATAAGTTTGCCGAGTACTGTGAGGTCTCATCCTTTAAGTGCCTTGGGATAACATATGCTGTGAGGTAGAAATAAAATTTGATTGAATTTAATAAGTTGTTAGTCCCTATACTTTGACCCAAAGAATCTATGGGTTCATATCATGGCAGTCATGTGTGTGCAGTAATTTTCACCATCATTCCAATATAGTAAAATAGTTTGGGCCCAGATTTGGCCCAAATCCCATCCCACACATCCCATAAGCGGCTCACATATTGCGTGGAATAATGGCACTCTGGCGGTCCGTCCCTGTTTGCCAGATCTGGGCCACAAGTAAGCTATAGCAATACTCCATGCCAACCAAAGGTAGCCTGAATTAGTTTTGTCCTATTTGGGTTGTATTCACCATTTCACACATGGGCCCCTTTAGATAGATTATACCATGCCTAAAGTACCACGTTTGCCAAGAAAGGCCTTCATTTGTTCTGGGATGTTTGGGCCACATTTGCTATTTTACAAGTGGGCCACTTTAAGCTCACATCCATTTTGACCTGCATTTGGCCAGAAGTGCCACATTATTGAGATGGCCCAAATCTGTAAGCTATCTGGGTTTGCTTTCAGTAGTAAAGGTTCTCAACAGTCATATTTTGCAAATACACTGGTCAAAATTCTCCTCCTGCATAAATCACAGGAAGGAAAACAAATCAATTGGTGTTAATCTGAAATCCCTGTCATATGTCTGTGCATGCAAACAAATCACCTGTTAATGTTATTTGGGAAAATATGTGAAGAAGTTGATGAAGATTATAACAATCTCATTTGCACTTTAATATCAAGACTAGAAAGACCGACAGGCAGGCAGACAGACAGTAAGACATACTCTGACTGATATTTAAAATGTCTCAGTAGCTGTGGTGAGACCCCCTGTAGATGTCACACAAGATATATAACTGAAAAGCTGAAATCATAATTAAATATGCTCCATCCTGGCAGATTTTTGTATCTGCACTGATTCTCAGGATACCTGAAAAATAGAACTTCCTCTGTCATTTTATTAGAAACACTGAGGAGTCTTAGCCATGCTGCATAATTTAACCCTGTGTGTAGACTCTGCGGTGCTTTGACTTGAATGCTAATATCAGTATGCTCAAAATTATAATTTTAACATCCTGTTGCTAAGCAATAATATCATGTTAATATGCTAACGATAATGTAAATGTCACTTTTACAGGGTTGTAACCGAGATAAAAGATTATGATTATATATTATGAAGATGATGGCACCAGACAAAAAAATCAACAGATCATGAAAGTGATCTGTAAAGTAACTGTAAACCAGTCGTTGAGATATTTCATGCAAAACTGTAAATGTCAACCTCATGGTGGCACTACAGGAAAAGTCAGCGTAAACAATTGACTGTCTGAGGACCATGAACGTTTAAATAAAAATGAATTTCAATCGGTTCAGTAGCTACTTGAGTATTTGAGTCTGGACCAAAGTGATGGACTAAGCAATTGTATGCTGTTACCAAGTGCTAAAAGGTGAATCTTATGAACCTTGCATTCACAGTTTGAGGGAGTAAAAACAGTAAGTGTACATCATTTATAAAATCCTAAGTCAAATGTATTTATGCTGCAGCTAAGAGTGTAATAGATGCGGAACATTCCACATATAAGTATAGTTTAACATTCACACAGTTGACTGATTATACGTGTTAAAATTCCTAAACAATCCATTTAAGTACAAACACAAAAGCACCCAAGTAGCTTGAAGGACAAAAGCCTGTGGCCAGTGCCAAGAGCCATTGTGCATGATGAGACTTCCTGAGAGTGAGACCGTGCTGGAGGCCTTCCAGAAGAGCACTCCACCAACAGAATCTCCAGTAAAGAATAGCTCCTCATTGATTTGCTGTTAACAACAGCTTGACTGGGAGTCTGGTCAATTCACCAGTGATAAACACAGAAAAATGAGAGGTTTAAACTGAGCAGGAAGGTTAAAGAAAGGTCAGAGCCTTTAAAGGATTTGATGACAAATGTAACTTTGCATCCTGAAGATCTGTGTAATGGAATACTGCCATAAAAATACATACACTTTCTCTGAAAGACATTTCTGAAACAATAGCAGTGCTATGTATTTGAATTATGGAAATATTTTTCATTTCATTACTGGTAGCCAGAACTGTTACACTTGCTTACAATATACAGATGTCGTAGGTAGGTTTAATACAATACATGACACTCCTGTGTGAGAGAGAAGTGGCTTTTCTTTATTTAACGTGTTCCCCTGACATCTATGTTGATGTCTTATACCTTTGGTGAGATTTTATTCCCAAAGGAATTGTTGTGTTATGAAGCTTCAGAATCAGTGAGCTTTGCCATAATAGGGAGAACAATATCCACACTTTCAGAAGTATTCATTGCTTATTTAAATTAAGAAACACATATCAAAGGCTGATTGAGAGTCAACGATATACACATACATATAGACACTTACAATTACCCTGACGTTACAGTCAAACATATGCAACTCCTTTTAGTGTATTTTTG